ACAGGAGTGAAACCATTCAAACATGATGAGTGTAACTTCGTCTCCACAGTCCAGTCCCATCTGACTTAACATAAATGTGTTCGTACAAGAGAAAAATCCTACAGATGTCCCTGATGTGATTAAGGTAATGAATGGTTTACGAAGAAACAGGTGATGAGATGATGTTCTGGATTACTCAAATCACTAGGAAATGTAGATCTCAAATAATGTGAATGTGTGACTACTACACCATGACGGGTCTCATTTAAGTACTTTTAACATTTATACTTAATGGTAATATGTAAAAAAAAGTTCTCGTTTTATTGATATATGTTGGTTAGTATTTAAATATGAGTAATATGCTATAATTTATTTATGTTCAGCATACTTCAATCTCTCTGTTGCCATTCATGTGACCCACAAATTTTGTTATTTAGAAATTATGATATTCTATGATTCACTAGCTTATTGTATCACTGTGAGAATATTTATGGTAAAATGATAAATTTTTGTTTTAGTGTGAAACAGGGTCATTGAACAAAGTGCACAATTTTTCTAATTAAAATAATCCTATTCTCTTCCTTTTGTTCATTTCTGGGCCGTATTCATTGTCTTTCTATAGTGTCCTAGACAAGATTTAAATTTGGTAATTAGGTTTGATTCATTCCTAGGACCTCAGTCCTTTTACCCACTTTCCTAATAGAAAAAATTTTTGAAACAGTTTTAGGTTGTAAAATATTAATTTTTAATATTTTCAATTGATTACTTCAGTTAATAGAAATATTTCTTCAGTTCATCTTTGCCTTGAAAAGAGAAACCTTAAAGGGAGTGGTCACAGAGGGAATGAATGGTTAACTGAAAGTTAGCCAACTGTTAACTTAATTGAAAGTTAAGTAACTTTTCTGTTTAAAGTAAAATGTTAACTGAACTTTACAGTGAATGCTATAGCTACATTTTATCTCATTGTGCCATTTGCATATTATGTAGGAATATTATAACTATAACTTCAAAATAGTTTGTTGGAGATTTTTCAGTTATGGGGGGAAGAGTGTGCATTTATGTTTCCCCTCTCTTTCTAAGCATATATGCTTAGATTAGGATAATCCAAATTAATAAAAATTATTTCTGGAAGGCTCATGCCTTAAACACTGAGTACAGATTTTTTTTTACATCCTGCAGCATCTTACTCCATGGGAGCCTATGTTTCCTCTGAGTTTTTTGAAATCTGCTTTCCTAAAGTATAGGGTATATGTTTGATTTTGCATGAATTTCCTCTCCTCCATCACAAATTCTAAGACCTGGGTGTTGGAAAATTTCTAGGATGGAATTCCTTGAGGGTCCAGGGAGACAATCACCCATCAGCAGAACCTCCAAGTCCAAAGGTTAAATAAAGTCAGTAGCCAAGTTGAAAGGAAAAAGAATTTATTAGCATGTTAAGGAGGATTGTTTTCTGCGGTGCAGATTTGGCTTATTTAACTTTTTCAGGCCTTCTTAGAGTACACAGGCCATCAACAGCATTCTGTGGGATTTGAATTGATCAATGGGATAGTCTGTCCCTATGGGAAAATTGGTCTGGGAATTCTGTAGTTTTGTGTTATGTGCCACATCTGTGGGATCCTGGGAAGCTAGAGAGTGCTGTGTACAGGAAGGGTTAGTATATTCAACATAAGTAGCATTAAGGTGGTTGTCAGATTATGTTATTCAGTTTACAAGAGAAATGTGTGTGTGTGTGTTGTGGCGCAATTTAATCAGGTTTTGTTATTTAGTTTGCTGCAGAATGTGGGTATTATTTAGGCTAACTAAAACATTTTGATAACAAGGTCTTTTCTCCCTCCACAATTGTTTCCTATCCCCAGGGCTTTAATCATTTCTACCCTAACAGCCAGCTCCTCCCAGTTAGTGAGAATCACATTCAGTATAGAAATTCTCTTTGTTGGTTCTTCCACCTTCTGAAGTTTGAAATTGTCATTAAGGCAAATCAAGAAGTTGCCATCTTATGCTCATTCATCTTGGTATTGGAGGCCTGTTTTCTTCTCCTGATGCTTTCCTTTCCTCCTTTCTCTACTCTGCTCTTCCCATCTCCACCAACCCAGGGAAAGATTTCCCTCAGAGGTAGGAAGAATATGCCATCCCATTTACTATCTGACTTCTAGTCTCGAATTGGGATGTGCGGTAGGATGGGGTACCTGGTCTTCAGTGATTTCTATGTCCTAGACACTGGAGATATAAATACACAATTTAAAAAGATGATCCAAATTCTCAGGAAAGGGAATATAATGGATGCACATGTAACAAGCATTTATTGTGGCCACTCATGTTGTAGTACCTCATACTGCTTACACCAGGCCTGTGAGCATCTACCAGTGAGTGGAATGGGTTACTCATTCACTCAGCATATTCTCGCACTGTAAGGCCTCATTTGTCCTGAGAAGGACAAATCACAGAGTTTTTACATCCAGATTCACCCAGGGTCTAAGTAACTCTGCTGAGGGAGGAATATGCCCACCCTAATTATAACTTCAGCTCTTAAGCCCTCACTGATATGCATCCGTTTGCACAGACCAGCCACATAATAATAAAAACAACACTTTTATATAGTAAACACATTATTTACTTAACATTGATGCAAGAGAAATAATAATTATGTCACAGAAAGTAAGTACATGAATAATAAATACATCTCAACTCATACATATACCTGGGTCACACTATCTCAACAATGTACTATATATCTATGAGGGAGAGTGGGCACACAGTGCCTTTTTCTTGCCAAGGAGGATATAAGTGAAAAAAAAACAAACCACCGTGTCCTTGGGTGTAACTCAAAACTTTGAAATTGTTAACCTCAGCATCCCTCTCTTGTCTCAGAGAAGGTCTATAAAAGTTCCTTCATGAATATAGCTTTTGTGTTAGATTTATTTCCATTATTAAACTGAGTTAATCCATGCAATACTTAACAAACATGACATATCAGCCAAACTAGGCAATCTATTAGGTGGTATCATTGATTTCTTTTGTTTTCTAAAGTGTTCCTCTGATCAGCGCGACTTGTCCTTCAAACACAACAGCAATCACTTCCAGCTTCAGGGTTAGCTGATGTAGTCCTGAAATTGCTTCTTTCATTTTCTGTTCTGTTCCATTTTGCTCTCTCCACTCATATTTTTATTGGTTCTGAGAATGCCATCTCCAATTTTAGTTTATGATTGGTAACCAAATTCTTAGTTCTCTTTATGATTGCATAAATTACATTTGTTCCACAATCATAGAATGATTCTGGTATTCAAAGCTCCAAAGTATATTATAGTTTGTCACATTAAAAACCAACGACTGCCTCAGAAATTATCATTAGAGTAACTGCTTCAGTAATTGGAGAAACTTAAAAGGACAGTATCTTTCTCACAGAAAAATAATTACAGGAAGGAGAGGGTACTAACAATCAAGGGGAATCAGCAAAGATTTTGCACCCTAAAGGCCACCTGAGCTGGACCTTGAAAGAGCTAGAGATTCTAAGAGGTAGAGATGAGTAGGGCATGTATTTTAGGAACGGAGGACAGCCAGTTCAAAGGCACAAAAGTGGGAGATGGCATGTTGAATATATAAAACAGCTAGTAGAATTGTGGAATTAGAATACAAAGTTCATTAGGGTAGTAATTTGAAATATCTGGAAAAGTAGGTAGAGACATAGATAGTAATTGCCTGCATCAAGCACCATAAAAGAAGGTTGGGACAAGCAGCATGAAAAGAGTCCACAAGTCAAATTTATAAAATAAATTCAGCTCAATGGAGAGGAGATGACAGGGGAAATTCATGGTTATCATGTTGGAGCTCAGGACACGTGGCCTCATTTGGAAAGAATCAGTGACTCAGTGCATCCGTAAAAGAGAGTGACTCTCCCTCAGTTGCTTTCTTCTTTTTTGACTGCAGATCATATTAGTACTGTCCTAGCCTGTCCCACGAGGGATAAGTGTGGAGAGGTGAAGCCCTTTCTCTTCATTCCAATAGCATGTCAACCTCTCCCATGTGGCAATTCAAGTAGGGGTGATCAGGTCAGTTAGGCAAATTTGACCAGGTTCTCTGGCTGCCTCCTCTGCGTTGTGTTTATTTGACTGATTCTAAGTGACCAAACATTGACCATGAGGTGTACATGTTTGGGTTTAAAGGTTACCTTGTGAGTTCCAGAGGTCTGACGGGTTCTGGGTCTCTAGTAGTGGCAGATGGATTTGGGAAAGAGTTCCTGCCAACTACTCCAATGTTCTTGGAAAGAAAATGACCTCTGGCCATAAGACGAAGGGCAGTGCAGAGATGAGATGAAATGTGAAATAGCTATTCAGCAGTTCTGGCAAATGCTTTATGTTTTGATGGTTTTAATTCTCAATTTCTTGGTAGAGTATTTCAGTAGCTATTACTGCTGATCATTGGGTTTAATTTTTTGTCAATGCACACTTTTCTTTAGAACCTTTTATGTAAAGTGTTTATTTTTTTTGCATAGGAAATGAATATTGGTGTAGTGAATAGAAAACTGGTCTTGAAGTCAGGAAGCCCTGGGTTTAAGTCCTACCTTTGACATATACTGGCTATGTGACCCTGGGCTAGTCACTTAACTTCTCAAGGTTCTAAGTAATTTTCTAACCTTATAAGTTGATGATAGGTGATGACCTACATTGATAAGGGGTAGTTTCCACACTGGGAGTTTACTATACCAATGAAATCACAAGTCCAGTAACTATCACAATCTGTCTCTCATGTCTGAATTACATTTCATTTTGGGTACCTTTCCACTTTTGCCTTTGGGAAGACCCTGGACATGAGCCCAAACCTAAGCTTTAAGTAAACTTTCTTCTCAGGTGTCAGGGTAGGAGTGTTTTTGTTGAATCATTTCAGTTGTATCTGACTCACCATGACCACACTCAGAGTTTTCTTGGCCAAGATACTGGAGTGGTTTGCTATTTCTTCTCCAGCTCATTTTAAATATGAGGAACTGAGGCAAACAGGGTTAAATGCCTTGTCCAGGGTCACACGGCTAGTAAATGTCTGAGGCTGTATTTGAACTCAGGTCATCCTGATTCTAGGGCTGCCGCTCTATCTACTGTACTACCTACTTGCCCAGGGTAGGAGCATAAACTGCTGAAGAGTGGGAGAAAAGTAGTCTGGCCCTCTGTTGCCAGAGGCTATGAATCCTCCAGAACCAAACTCAGTCTGGACTACATGCATGGGTTCAATTAGGGGCCCCTTAATGGAGGAGGATTGGGTACAGCAGCCCAAGGGCTGCTGTAGTATTTATACTGTTGGATTAAGCATATTAATTTTAAAACTATGTGTAAGATGGATTGGATTGGGGACAGACTGAAAGTAGGAAAACCAAAGCAATCTAGGAAAGCAGTAAAGAGGCCCAGCAGATGTATAGTGGACATGTGAATGGAGAGAAAGGGGTGGAATCAAGAGTTGTGGAAGCAGAACTGACAACATTTGTCAATTGATTGGAGATGGGGGTGGGTACAAAAGGAAAAAGTCAATGATGATTCCAAGGTTGCAAACATAGGTAATGGGAAGGGTAGTGTGCCCTCAACAGAAATAAGAATATTTGGAGAAGGAATAGGTTCTTGGCTTAGAAGCTTGTTCTCTACCCACTATGCCAAACTACCTTTCTGCCTAGATGAACAAAATGTAAAAATACAATTTCCTAAAACTCCAATGGGTAGCAGTATCGGGGAAATTCATATGTTCCTCTGGCCATTTGACATCATCCTATTACATCTATAGTCATTATTTCTTCACATTTTTCTGGATAATATTTAAATTCTTCCCAGATGATCTAAGGAAAGGAAGAAAAGCAAGAGTGACATTTTAGTACATTTTTGCAAGTCTCATAAGTGGGTATTAGTTTTCCACTCGGCAGTCATTTTTCTCTCTTTAAAAATATCAGAAAAGGTTAATAATACTAGTGACCAAGAGAAAAGATCAGAATTGGTGATATAGGAAGATAGCCCTTGCAGATAACCTTATGTGATCTCTGGATTGGGGATCAGAAAAACTTGGTTTGAGTCCTAACTCTGCCACATGTGTGCCTTAAGCTATGTGCCTTAAACATAACGTCTCTGGATCTCATTTTCCACATCCGTAAAAGGAAGGGGACACATGATTAATAATGTCCCCAGTGTGGTATAATGTAAAGGGATGGATTTGTTATGAGAGGACCTGAGTCCCTAATTCTGACTCTACTAATTACTACCTTTATGATACTGGGCAAGACATTCAACCTCTACGGACCTCAGTTTTCTCAATTGTAAAATGAAGGTGTTGGACTGGGTGACTTTGAAAGTTGTGTCTTACTCTGAATCTATGATCCTGTGTTCCTTCCAGGTCTGGTGTTCTAAGATTCTATGAAATGAAAGTGCAAGTGATTTCTCCAGTCTTTGAATATTTTTTCCCCCTGGATCACTCGTTTGGCTTATATAAGTTATGTGACCATGGGCAAGTTTCTTCATTTTTCACTGCCTCTTTAAAACGATCTCTGAGATTCCTCTCTGTATTAGTGGAAGGAGTTTTCACACTGGGAGTTCCCTACACTGAGGAAATCACAAATCCAACTCTTTCATTCCAAACAAAAACCACTCATTTGGTTCCTAATGAGATGAACTGCTTTGCATTATTATTTAACTTGTGATTTAAACAACTAGTTTGTTAGTTTCTTCAAGGCAGAAATTCTGTTTTTTTGCTTCATTGTATCATAGAATGTCAGTTGGAAGGGATCTCAGAGACTTATCTGTCTAACTCATACCTTAAAAAAAGGCACCCTGATGGCATGGTGGATGGGCATTAGACTTCATCTCAGGAAGACCAGCCTCAGACACTCACTATTTGTGTGTCCCTCGGAAAGTCACTTAAAAAAAACAAAACCAAAACCAAACCAAACCTCTGTTTGCCTCAGTTTCCCCACTTGTAAAATAGGGATAACAATAGTATTGATATCCCGGGGTTATTGTGAGGATAAAATGAGATAAGATTTGTAAAGAGTTTTGTGAACCATAAAGTTTTGTATAAATTCTAGTTTTTATTATTATTGCTATTGTTGTTGTTGTTAACAATGATCATTCTAAAATATCGGGATTTTGCTTGAAGACCTCCATAATAGGGGTGTGGTTTATGATCAGAGAGCTTCAGTTGAAATTTTTGTGTGGAAGAGGCTAAGGTGTTTTTTCTAGGAGAATTGTGATCAAGTTAAGGGGAAATACCTTGTAGGGACAGACTGTGGAACATGAGTAGACATTCTATAAATGGTTCTTCTAGGCTAACCACATGTTGAAAAGGAGGATCTTTGTCATTCAAAAAGACTTACAGGCTTCAGTTATGGTCTCTTGACTACATTTGCTTTTGGGAAATTTTGGTGACTAGTTAACTGATGGTTTTCTTTTAAGGGGGTGGAGGCTCTGATCTTGGGAAACCAAATTGCAGGAATATGAGATCAAGGATCCAGGCTGGGTCTTACAGTCATTGTAGCATTGGTGCCTCAGGGAGCAAAGAGCAACCTTTGAGATTCTGACCTACTTGAAGGTTCCATCTAGCATTTGTGATGCATCTGGACATGAAGATGGTAGGAAAAATTCTATGTTCAGTCATTTTTTAGTCATGTCTGACTCTTTGTGACCTCATTTTGGGGTTTTCTTGGCAAAGATACTGGAACAGTTTGCCATTTCCTTATCCAACTCATTTTATAGATGAGGAACTAAGGCAAACTTGCCCAGGGTCACACGATTTGTAAGTGTCTGACATTGGATTTCAACTCACTCAGGTCTTACTGAATCTAGGTCTGCCACTCTATCCATGGCACCAAAATATTCCTGTATAAAAGGTACCTGATGTTAAGTGGTTAAAATGGAATTGGGGGTTCTAGTCACTGCCTGTCTAAAATGAAGAGAACACATCTGGTGGGGAGTCTAGCTGGTGTCAGGGAAAAGGAAAACCCACAAGTCTCCTCTGGGTATCTGAGAACCCTGAGGGGGAGACATAACAGACATGGCCCTGAGAGAATAGAGACAGAGCATACATGATCCCCCTCCAATGAAGAGATGCCTTTGACCTTCTCAGGGAGTCTATTCCACTTTTGGATAGATATAATTATTACAAAGTTTTATTTAAAATCAATCCTAAGGTATACCAAGCTTTGCAAATCATTTGTAAAATAAGGAGGTTGGCCTGTATTGGCTTCTGATGACTCTTCCTCTGAATTTTCCCATGTATCTTAGTCATGCCCTTTGGGGCTAGACGGAACAAGTCTATCCCTGTTTTCACATGACATACCTTCAAATGTCCCTGCAAGTCTTTTCTTATCCAGTTTAAACATTTTCTAGAGGTAGCCAGGTGGCATAGTGGACAGAACTTTGGGCCTGAAGTCTGGAAGACTTGAGTTCAAATATGGCCTCAGACACTTACTAATTGTGTGACCCTCAACAAATCACTTAACCTCTGTTGCCTCAGTTTTCTTAACTGTAAAATAAGGATAATAATAACAGTACCTACTTCCCAGGGCTGTTGGGAAGATTCAATAAGGTAAGAGTTACAAAGCGCTTAGCACAATGCCTAGCACATAGTAGGTGCTTAATAAATACTTAATGTCTTCCCTCAAATGATCCTCAGATGGCATGATTTTCACTATTAAGGCTGTCCTTTCCTAGATTCTCTCCATCTTATCAATGTCCTTCATACAATATGGTGTTTCAGAGTGAATTCAATACTCTTATTTTTGTCTGACCAGGGCATAGAACAGTGAGACTACTCTGTCCTTGGTCCTTGACATTTTCTTGACTACTGAGTTATGCTGGCACTAAAACTGCCAGACCTTTACCTAGCACTTCCATCTTTAAAAAAAATTTTTTTTTTAGGCAATTGGGGTTAAGTGACTTGCCCAGGGTCACACTGCTAGTAAGTATCAAGTGTTTGGTCTGAGGCCGGATTTGAATTCAGGTCCTCCTGACTTGAGGGCCGGTGCTCTATCCACTGCGCCACCTCACTGCCCCATAGCACTTCCATCTTTAAAGTGGCTTTGTTGAATGAATGAATGAATGAATGAATGAATGAGGGCAATGAATGCCCTTGGAAGTTGTGCACTTCAGGGAGGGCCTAGATTTAATTTGTCTTATCCCTTGACTTTGCCTTACTTTGCATTCCTCTCCCTCCTTCCCTCTCTCTCTTCCCCCCCTCTTCTCTCTCTTTCTTCTTCCCCCTCTCTTTCCCTTCTCCCTCTCCATCTGTCCATCTATCTCCATCTCTGTTCCTCTTTGTGTCTCTTTCAGGTATATATGCGCAGGTTTCAGGAACAAAAACGGAATCATGAAAGTATGTAGACCAACAAATACTGCAGGGACTCGCAGGTATGGATGAATGAGAGATGTGGATGCTCAAGGGGACACTGAATTTGGTGATTTGTTGAGGGAGAGGAATGAGGTTGGGACAAGGTTGAGAGGGATGTGTTAGGGAGAAAAAGACCTAGTTGAATTAATCCCACTCTGGAGGTTCCATACTTAGAATAAAGAGGAAGATATCAGTCTAGACTTGACACTTCCCTAGGCAGGTAGAAACTATTACTTCTCATGACAACAGAACTGTAATTTGAATAACCTGGGGTCAGAAGAACTCGCAACTGGAATTCTTTGAATGGGGGGAAATGGAAGCCCTTTTTCACTTGAGTACATGGAAACCTGTCCTCACCCCCTCATGTGATATATATTAGCATAGTACAAAGAGCAATGGTTCTGGAGCTAGAAGAGCTGGGTTCAAGCCTTGTCTTTGACCCTTAAAATCTGTGTGAATTTGAGTACATTGCTTTGTCTCCTAGGCCTCAGTTTTCTCACCTCTAAAATGGGGGTGGTCAGTTATATGACCTCTGAGTTCTCTTCCAGCTCTAATTCTATGATACCTGTAGCGACAAAACACAGGGAGACCTGCTCACTGGTGTCCCTGGCATTTGGTCACATAATACACTAACTCTATGTCCTTTTGTGGGTTAGGTCAGATGATAAACAAGGGCCCCCTTTTCCATGATTGCTATTATAGATAGCGAGCTATCCCCTTCTCCCATCTTTCCCAAAGCAAATATCTATGTCTACTTGTCACAGTTTTTGAAGTGAAGACAGTAAATGGTATAGCAAAGACATCCTACCTGTTTATCCAGGTGATTACAGGTATTTATTTTGTCTTTAATCTGAGGAATCCGGGGGAATAACCTTTGCATGACATAGTACCTTGGAAGAAAGAGAAGAAGAAATGAATGAAAACTGTTCAATGTGACTCTTATGATCTGCCAAAGTCAATATTGTTCTGACAAGGAAGCCCATTAATGCCAATGCTCTGCTGACCCATGGGATAAAGGCCAGAGAGGGTTCAACTGAGCTGTTAAATACAGCCCAGCTTTCCACCCAGTGCTCTGAACATTCTAGATACTAACAACTCACTTGAATTTCAGTGAGAATTCTAGAAGAGAATATTTGGGAGGTAAGGGGATGTAGACTATATTTGACAAGTGTCCTTCTATATTTAAAGGGTTAGGCAGCCCAAAGCTCTTTTTCACTTAAATCTGGTCTTAGAGAACAATATTAGTGATGTACCATTTCCAGGTTCAGTACACTATTCACATTTCATGACTAATTTTAAGTATTGTGGTTTTTCTAAAAAAAAAAATCCCCTTTGTGATTAAGATAAGATTATTTGTGTTCTGATCTGCATTGTAACTTGTGTATTTGTCTTATTATTTAGGGGCAAAATTCTTCCAGTGGGTTCAACTGTCCCCAGGTTTGTAATATGTGAAAAGAAAATGGTTCAATTAATAGAAATAATTCAGGGTGCAAACAAATGATCAAAATGTTTATGTTAAAATGAGGTGAAGAAATGTAGGTAGCAGATGTTTCCAGATGGCATGCTAGCTTTTGAACAGTACTATATTGCTAAACACTTATAAAGAATGTGGTCCACTATGGCCTCTGCATCTTTTTCAACTATTCTCTCATGTGATCCATCATTCTAATCTTATTGGGGACAATGAAATGGCAAAAGGCAGAAAGATAAAAGTCAGGAAAGGGATAACTAGGCGGAACGTTTTCTCTGAGCCTAATCCACACACTACAAATGATACTTGCTTGATTTAGGCAAATTAACCAGTCAGAAGATCCATCTTTGAAAATCTACTCAATAGGAAATACTTCAATGAATCTATGCTCTAATTTCTTATTAATAAGAGAGTACACTAACCAGCTGAATGAATCCCTTCTACAGTGAAGATAGCGATGTATACTGTATAATTCATATTTGCATTCTCCTATAAATCACCCTAAAGGGAAATCCACCTGTGTGCTAGAGGTCTTTACTATATTAGGCTATATTGTCATTATTATTGTTATTGCATAATGTTATTATAATGTCATATTGCATTATGTTATTGTAAATATTATAATATTACAAATGTTATAATATTATATTATAATGGATCCTGGCAAAAAGCAATTAGACTCCATATCTGTCACCCTTTGCTATTTATATGTGACTAACCTGTCTCCCTTTCTAATCACACCTTCTCAAGGAGATCCCATATGTTTCTTTTGGTGAGTTTTGCAGCTGACTTCTGCCTCCTATATATATTTCTTTTGCATTTTGGGAAACCTGCAATTCTGGTTCTTGGATTTTGTGGTATTCTAAGATTTGTAGCTATATCAGTCTTCTAAAGAATATTGGAATAAGAAAGATCTATTTTTTTTTATGTTGGGTGACAGTATTGGAACATTGAAATAATAATAGTTAGCATTTATAGTACTTTAAGGTACTTTACAAATATTATCTCATTTGATCCTTACAGTAACTCTGGATTGTAGGTGCTATTATTGGACGTATTTTACAGTTGGTGAAAATTAAGCAGACTGAAATTAAGCGATTTCTCCAAAGTCAAATAGCTATTAAGTATTTGAGGTCACATTTGAACTCATGGCTTCCTGACTCCAGGTTCCCACTTTGCTATCTAGTTGCCTATAAATAAAGAATTGTATAAAATATAGTCAAATATACTCAAAAACTTTGTCAGTCACAAATCCAAAAAAAAAAGATAAGAACCTAATAAAAATGGTAGCACAGTTTTATACGTTTTAATAAATAGATAAATGCTGCCATCTGGCTCCATATGGGGTAGGTCCTGGCTGTTGTTGTGCCTTGGGCTGCAGGAGCAAGTTGGGCAGGCAGCAACTCTAAGGGGTGGAGATGGTATAGACCAACCCTACGCTACCCACAACTCCCTCTTTCACCAGAAGATATACAATATGTATGGCACTTTACTTTGACAAAGACCTGAAGTTGCTTGTGAAAGTGAGCACTGGAAGGATTATAGTTTGCAAATTATTGGGAAGTGATGTACTTTTTTGAATTCTTTAACTGTTTCTCTCGGAAGAAACTGTATAGAAGCTAACTCAAAATTTGAAATATGCTCAAAATGTTCTATAACACATCAATTGTGTTGGGAATAATTTTGTACTTTTGAAACAAACATCAATAGCAGAACTGACTGTCTGATATTGAAATCATGCCATGTTATATCTATATAGTGCTTTATAGCTTACAAAGTACTTTCACATACTACCAAGATCTCATTTGAGTTACAAATAAGAAAGAAATGGCAAACCACTCTAGTATCTTTGCCAATAAAACCCCAAATGGGATCACAAGTCTGAATTGACTGAACAACCACAAAATGCCTAATACAAACCTTTGTTTTTCTCATTTGTTAATAAAGCTTAATTACAAAGTATTGTTACCTTTTAAAGATAAATATGATAATTAATGCAAAGACAGCTGTCCCAAATACCACCAATACATAAATATATATAGAACTTCTTTTTTGTTCTTCAGAACCTCCTGGAAAAGAGAAAATAGAGGAAAAATCCAAATACATCTGTAATTTAATGAAACATTAACATTAACTATTTCATTTTTAAATGAGCATTATGATAAATTACTGAGAAATTCTCTTCAGTAAAAATGCACAAAACTGTAATCCCATTACTATTAAAACTATTCATTAGGCCAGTGTCATTGATAAAGTTAAAACAAACAAATAAACATCTTCCATGACATAATCTTATCATGATCTTATAAGGTAGTTAACTTCTTTGCTTATATATTAAAATGTTATATAGTAATCAAAATACAACTAGCAAAAATGTGGGAGATTCAAAACTATGCTAGGCAATGTTTGATTGAAGGAACTTGGGAGATTTATTTAGCTTGGAGAAGAGACTTAGGGGGCTATAATCATTACTTCCACATATGAAAGGAACTTGAGGTGGAAGAGATATTAGATTTGTTTTTCTTAGCCTCACAGAGCAGATCTGGAAGTAAGATTTAGTAGCCATATTTTTAAGACGTACTTGTAGCATGTCATTTTTTTTTTGGAAGAGAGACAGACTTTATTTTTTTTTCCATATTAGTTATGTTGTGAAAGAAGAAACAGACCAAAAGGAAAAAAAACACACACACACATAATGAACCAAGTGAAAAATAGTATACTTCAATCTGTATTCAGATTCCATCAATTCTTTCTCTGGATATGGGTAGCATTTTTCATTACAAATTCTTTGGAATTATCTTGGATCATTGTATTGCTGAGAATAGCTAAGTTATTCACAGTTGATCACCATACAATATTTTAGCATGCCATTTAAGAAAAAAATTTATTTATTTGTAGTTTTCAACATTCACTTCCATAATATTTTGAGTTCCAATTTTCTCCCAATCTCTCTCCTCTCCCCATCCCAAGACAGTGTGTAATTTGATATAGGATATACATATACATTCATATTAAACTCATTTTCACATTAGTCATATTGTAAAGAAGAATTAGAACCAAGGAGAGAAACCACGAGTAGGAGGAAACAAAAAAGGAGAGAGTGAGCAAATAGTATGCTTCGATCTGCATTCAGACTCCATTGTTCTTTTTCTGGGTGTGAACAGCATTTTCCATCATGAGTCTTTTGGAGTTGTCTTATATCTTTAACATGCCATTTTTTTTTGGGGGGGGGGCAAGGTAATTGGGTTTAAGTGACTTGCCCAGAGTCACACAGCTAGTAAGTGTTATGTGTCTGAGGCTGGATTTGAACTCAAGTCCTTCTGACTCCAGGGCCAGTGTTCTATACACTGTGCCACCTAAGCTCCCATGCCATTTTTAAGAAGCAGTCTTTTGTAATGGAGAGAAGGAAACAAAGAAAGGAAACAAACATTTATTAAGTGCCTACTATATGCCAGGAGCTGTTCTAAGTGCTTTACAAATATTATTTCATTTGATCCTCACAGGAACCCTGGGAGGTAGGTGCTATTATTATCTCCATTTAATGTTGCGGAAGCTGAGGCAGATAGAGTTTAAGTGACTTGCCCAGAGTCACACTGCTAGTGTCTGAGGTGTATTTGAACTCAGGTTTTCCTGACTCCAGGGTTTCTGTCTATCCACTGTGTCACCTAGTTACCAATAATGCCTCAAATGTGTGAATTTGTTTTCATGAACTATAAAAACATAACAGTGTTTTAAGAAACCTTAGGGTTCAAGAAACCCACAAGTAAACAGAGAGATGGAGAACTATATATCATATTCTTGAGGAGCTAGAAATTTGCCAGTGTATAGATAAAGCCCAGTGAGGGGGTAGAGGACTATAAAAATTGATCAAGAATATATAATATTATAGCAGATAGTGTGCAAAAAATGAGAGATAATAATCCTCTTGTACCCCACCCTGAGCAGACTACATCTGGTATATCGTATTCAACTCTGGGAACTTTATTTTAGGATAAGACTCTGTCAAACTCAAAAAACATCTAGGAGAGGCTCGCCCTGAAGGAGAGAGGCCTGGGAGGATTAGCTAACAGGGAGAATAATGACTGGATTCCAAGAGGCTGGAAGGATCGGCTGAATCTGTAAGAAGATTTTTAAGTTAGTGCTTTTTCCTTCCTTAAATTATAAGGTATAACTTTACCTGTTTACATATTGTATCCTCTCTTCCCTTCCAGGAGAATGTAAACTTCTTGAAGGCAGGGACTGACATCTTTTGCATATAGCACAGTGTCTTTCACATATTAGGTCCTTTAATAAATGCTTGTTGGATAAGATTAGAGAAGGGAGGACTGTGGGGGGACATGAGAGCTATCTGAAAGGTTTCACGTGAAAGAGGACAGGATGAGGAACAATTGATAAAAGTTACAGAGAAGCTGAGTAAGGCCAGATATAAGAAAAAACTCAGTCGTAATTAGTGCTAGCCAAAAGTGGAGTGGGTTTCTTTGGGAGGGATGCCTTGCCCATCCCCGGAAGTCTTCAGATCGAGGTTCCATGACTCCTTGTGAGCATGATTGTGGAAAGGATTATCGCTGAGTTATGGGTTGAAAGAGGTAGCCTGTGAGGTCCTTTTCAACTCTGTGTTTCTGAAGTTGTGCAGTTCTAGAAATACTTGGGAAATTTGACTCAGATGTTGTGAATGTTGGGTAGAAATCAGTGTCAGGTGATCTTTTTTTCACCTTTTTTTCTCGTTTTTTACTTGGATGAGCAAAGTTGAAATATAGTAATTATAGGGAAAAGACAATTCGAGGCCATCCCTGAGGTAAGCAAAGAATAATCATATGATGTGGGCTGAGAGTCAGAAAACTTGGGTTCCAGTTATACTTTTTTTTTTGATGAGGCAATTGGGGTTAAGTGACTTGCCCAGGGTCACACGACTAGTAAGTATCAAGTGTTTGGTCTGAGGCCGGATTTGAACTCAGGTCCTTCTGACTCCAGGGCCAGTGCTCTATCCACTGTGCCACCTAGCTGCCCCTCCCATTATATTTCTACCCACTAACTAGCTGCACGATCCTGGATAAATAGCTTCACTTGTCTGTGCCTCAGTTTTCCCTTCTGTAAAATGATGGGGTTGTCCTAAATGACCTCCAGGTTCCTTATTCATTCGAAAAGCCTGTGAGTGTATGACACCAGGTAGCTCTTCTTCATAAGAGGAGCTAATCGATGAAAACAGAGCACTCACCTAAGGGAGCTGAGCTCTGCAAGATGCCGAATTAACTAAGGCTGAAGGGGAGGTTTGCAGAAAGGACTTTTACTGTACAAGCTACATATAGAATGCTTGAATGCCATGGCTGGATATTTAGGGATTTTCAAGACCTAAGACCTGGAGATACTTCTTTAGGTGTGAGAAAATAAAGGATTTCTTGATAACAGAAAGTTGGAGCCAGTTTGATAATAACTGATAAGAGCTTTTGTTGTTACTGTCCAGTTGTTTCTGACTCTTTGTGATCCCATTTGGGGTTTTCTTGGCAAAGATACTGAAGGGGCTTGCCATTTCCTTCTGCAGCCTATTTTATGGATGAAGAAAACTGAGGCAAACAGGGTTGAACGACTTACCAAGGATCATACAACTAGTATGCATCTGAAACCAGATTTGAACTCAAGTCTTCCTGACTCCAGGCATAGCACTCTATCTACTTCACCATCTAGCTGCCCTAACAGGCCTATACTTTTGAGGTATGTGTATATTTTTGTATTTCTTTCTTTCTTTCTTTTCTTTTTTTTTTTTGCTGAGGCAATCAAGGTTAAGTGACTTGCCCAGGGTCACACAGCTAGTAAATGTCAAATGTGAGAGACCACATTTGAACTCAGGTCCCCCTGACTTTAAGGCCAGAGCTCTATCTACTGCACCACCTAGCTGCCCATTATTTTTGTATTTCTTATTCTATATCTTATCTTAACTTACTGATGTATAATGATTAATAGTTGGTGTTTGATCGAATGATTTGTGTTCTTGCTTTAATAAAAGGGGGGCTTCTTTTATTTTGAAAAAGGCTGAGAGTTTGAATTATAAGTTTGAATTCATATCTCCCAGTTTTTCACCTTGTGGCAATGCTAAAAATGGCTCATCTGGTAGCAGCCATAAATGAGTATACAGGGTGTGTAGGTTGAACTCTGGAACATCTTAGTATCTCCCCCAAAAGTAGCTTTGCATTTTATTTTTATTGCATGATACACTTTTTTTTGAGGCAATTGGGATTAAGTGACTTGCCCACCATCACACAGCTAGTAAGTGTCTGAGGCCGAATTTGAACTCATCCTGAGTTCATCCTGACCTCGGGGCTGGTGTTCTATCTACTGTGCCACATAGATGCCCCAATATATTCTTTTAAATAAAAGGGTAAAATTCTTTGGGTGCACATCTTATCTTTCTAGTCTTCTTGTACCCCACCACATACTTTGTGATACAGTGACAATGGTTTCCTTGCTGCTCCTTGAACGAGACACTCCATCTTCCTGCAGTGGGCATTTTCAGGGGCTGTCCTCCAAGGTCTCCCTCCTTGCCTCCTACTCCTGGCTTCTCTGACTTTCTTCGAGTCTCAGCTACAATTCCACTTGTAGGAGGCCTTCCTTCTGTTGATTATTTTCAATTATTTATCCTGTGTCCAGTTAGTTTGCATATAGTTATTTGCATGTTGTCTCCCCTAATAAGGTTGTGTACTCAAAGGCTGTCTTTTACCTTTCTTTCTGTCCCCAGAACTTAGCACAATGTCTGACACATAGTAGGCACTTAAAATTGTTTATTCACTGGATGATTCCCTAATGGAATATGCTAGATATGTCAATGGTGGGAGCTATCTTGATTGCAGGAACAATGCAGGAACACACAGGAGCACGTCTGTGTCTGTAAGGTTGCCTTTGCATTGCCAAAGTGACTGAGGTCAAATAGATCACCTGGTATTTTCCCATATATGTAATGAAACAGAAATATGCTTACCAAACTCTATAGGTTCACTCCATTCACCCCATTTCCCATCTCGACGACTTGCTCTTATTTTCAAGATATACTTTGTTCCCATGTCATAATTTGGGAAGTCATATTCATTTTTTTCAGATCCTTGTACCTCAAACTTGGACCAGAAAAAAAAGAAAATGGGGGAAAAACATATTTGTCACTGATTCTGTGGAATGAGAGATGCTACAGAAATGTCAGGGTTTTTTTTAATGGCAACCATGAAATCTCGAAAAATGTTTCAGTGAGCATTTCCTCAATTTTGTATTGAGAAGTTTAAATAAAGGGTACAGTAAGTATCTGAGGCCAGGTCCTCAAATTTGCAAATAAAATATACACCTTTGTTAATTATTACATCTAAACTATTTAAATAAAATCTATACATTTATGGTATAATCTAAGTAAATCCTTTACTGCTACTTTCCAATGTTTTTACACCCCTCTTATTGCCCTCCACCCTCCGTGTTGTAGCCTTTTCAAAACAAGGTTGGCACATGCAGATGATTAGGTAAAACCCTGGGCAGAGGAAGAACAACCCCAACCTGGGGCAGGATATGTGGATTCTGACTAGGGGGATGAATGACCATAAATATAAAAATCAGGGCCAGTATGATACCCAAAGAACTCAAAGGGGGCTTTGACATGTCAAAAAACTGAATGCTTTTATACTGAGAAGTCTTTATGAGGGTAGGAGACAAACTGTAGGGAGTATCCAGGTGTTGAGTGTCTGTGTGACTCCACCTAAATCCTCAAAGACATTTTTCATCTGTGTTAGTGGTTGATATTTTTTGCTGTCTGACCATGACTCTCCCTTGTTAGTGGGCTAACACACGATGTCCCTTCCTTACTCATCAGGGTCCATTAGACTGTGAGAGCAATATGTCATTCTACCATGCAGAACATGTTCTGGGACTTTAGGACCAGGACGTGGTGGAATGTCATTGTGGGAAGACCTCTACTAGTTCTGAGTGTGTGTATTGTGTCCCCATGTTTTCTGATCAAGTCTGTATCTGTTCTGGTCTTCTAGGTGCTTGAAGTAGCCTATAACTTCTCTGAGTCAAGTATATCCTGAAGAATGTATTATTCCTGACCATCCATAATTAACAGAGGTGAATTGAAGATAGACATTGAAGGTCAAGGTGAGCCTGTCATCACAAAAGCTAATGGGACATTGTAGAGATATGGAGTGTGGAAAATACCCCCAGGCAATCTCTTTCAGACACAGAAATGAGAACTTGAGTGATGGGCACATGACCTACCACCTTTTCTGCTGATTTTTCAGAAAAGTTACTTAACACAGAAGTTTTAACCATCAGTCAACCAACCAACTAATCAATCAACAGGAATTTATTAAGAACCTGCTTTGTGCCAGGCATTGTGTCTCACCAATTCCACTTCCTCTACTTTTCTCTACTCAACCACTATAGTTCAGCCCTCATTATTTTATGCCAGTTGCAATAGCCTCATAATTGACCAGAACCTGGTCTCTCTCCTCTCTTCCCCACTTTTCCACATAGCTGCCAAATAGATATTCCCAATGTACCTGTTTGACCATGTATGTCACTCCTCTGTTCAAGATATTTTGGGTCTTCCCCATTGTTTTTAGGTCAAAGTACAAACTTCTCTTTTTGGCATTTAAATCTCCTTCCCTTCTGTCTCTAGCATAACTTTCTAGGTTAATTACACATTACTCTTCCCTCATGTACTCTATGCTTAAGTCTATTTCAATCAAATGAATAATACTTGTAAAGGGCTTAGCACAGGGCCTGGCACAGAGATGGAGTTTAATAAATGCATGTTCCTTTTCTCCCCTTCCCTTATTTGCTGTTCCTTATACTAAATATTCCATCTTCTACCATCATATTTTTATACAAGTAAACCCGCATACCTAGAATGCTTTCCCTTTTTACCTCCAGCTCTTGGAACCACTGGATTCCAGTGAGGCTCAACTTACTCCGGGAATCCTTTCCTGATTTGCACAATTGTTAATGTCTGCCTCTCCCATCCCCCATATTTTCATTTTATATTTCTCTATGAACATGTATTTCCCTCATAGAATGTAAGCTTTTTCAAGGTAAGGACTATTTTCATTTTTGTTTTTGTATATCCAATGTCTAGCACAATGACTGGTGATTAAGCTCATTGATTGGTTGATTGATTAATATATATCTAATCTTGGGAAAGTTTCACAATCATGTTATATTGTATCATCCCCTCCATGAGAGTAGCATAGCTATTTTCAGTTTTATTCTGCCTGCAAAAGTTTATAGACCAGATGGTAAGAAATTTGAATGATTTTTAAAAAAATTTCAAGTGTACTTTGACATCAAATCACAACAAAAGATGAAACTCACCAGATTTTTATGAGTGTACTGCAAGCCCTGTAAAAAAAATAGCAAGAAAAAATCTGGTAAGAACTTTCACTTTGAAAAATCATTAAGAAAGTATTTGACTGAGTCTCCCCTTTGATGTCCTGGTTGGTACTAGCAACAAACCTTTTTGAGTAGGAGGGCTAACTGCTACCTCTCCAGCCCCAAACTCAAGAGCATGCCTGCTTTGTAATTGTGGGCAATAATGAATGGTTTGCTGCTAAATATTTAACAATTGACTTTCTAAAAAGTAAGACATATCTTTAAATTCAATCTATATTATTATTTTTCTCTATCACTTTCTTAAATCTAGAAATTAACAAAACAATAAATCAAGCTCTGATTTGATTTTTGAGGTATAGATACTCACACTGAAAATTGAACAATTAGCTCTCCCAAGTTGCTTTGAGCTGGCTTCAATACAACCCTAGGAAGACCCAGCTGCCTCCTTCCTTGACTGCCCTCTTTTTGTGACTCTTCATATGAGCTTGATCTCTGGGCCTTGGCATCAGGCCATATCATCTGAGCCTGTCTATTGTTCAGGAGGATTATGGGGATATCATCTTTCCATTATGTCAAATCCTCAGAAGACCTGAAGGGTATCCCTCCATAGTTTTACCATAGTGAAAGTGAAGGTGTATCTCCTCTTCAATTTCACAAAACCCAGATTTTTATTTTCCTTTATTTGTTGAACATATATCAAAAGAATGTAAATATAATATATAATATATAAATATAATATAATATATAACATATAAGAATAATAAATACTCATATAGTAATTAAAATAATTTTGTGCATATAATTTCATTTTATCCTTACAATAACTATGAAAAAAAGTGCTTTTATTATCAGCCCTTCTCCACAGATAGGGAAACCAAAACAGACAAAGTGACTTGCCTAGGTTCACACACCCATTTAGTACCTGAAGTGGGATTTTAACTTAGGTCTTCCTGACTCCAAGGCCAACAATGTATACCACCTATCCGCTTGAGGCTTGACTCAATGTGTGTAGTGACAGTGTATGACTGTTGGTTGCTTCTGGCAGCCTGCCTAGTTCTCTGGGGTAAGATCCATTTGCAATTATGACCAAATCTGAGCCATTGTAAGAAGGCCCAAAGGAGAGCCAGCTGTGTTATTGGCAGGTTCTCCATGGATACGATCACCTTGTCTAGCCCAGTCTGCTAAGTTTGTGCCCTCTTTTGGTGGTTACAATCCTGGCATGTGTTTAGGCTATACAATTCGGTTATGGCTTTGTGCTTGGATGAAGTATTCACAGCAAAATGAATGGAGGGCTGGCTTTGGAGTCATGGTCAAATTCTGTTCCTGACACTTAGTTGGCATGTGGGGGACCAAGGGCAAATCATCTAACCTCTATGAGTCCAGATTTGTTTATCTGTAAAACAGAGGAAACAACACTTGGTAGTACCTACCTTAGAGATATGTCATAAGAATCCAATCAGACAAGGTATGTGAACTGTTTTGCAAAACCCTATACAAATGTTAGCAATATCAAATATCAGAGGGAAAAATTCTTCCTACTCTTATAAAGTCATTAAAAAAAAAACAGACATGGCTTAGCAAAATCATGCTGGACTTGTGCCTTTGGGTCTGGGCCTATGGCTTAGTACAGTGTCTTAACACATGGTAAGTACTTAAAAAATACTTGGTGATTGACTCTCTCCAGTCTTATTGTGACAAAGTAGGGCTTTTCTGAACATTCTCACCTGTGTTTTTGACACTTGAAAAAATACTAATAATAATTCAGTATTATATTTGGATATTGTGTTTTAACCTTTCAAAGAGCTTTGAATAATGGTAGCTGGCATTTATATAGGGCTTTAAAGGAGTGGCTTATATACATTACATCATTTTATCCTCACAACTCTGGGAGATAGTTTCTATTACTATCCTCTTTTTACAAATGGAGAAATTGAGGATGGGAGAGGTTAAGTGATTTGGCTGGGGTCACACAGTAAGTGTCTGAGGCAGGACTAGAGCTGACAGCAAGTCCAGTACTCTATACACTGGGCCACTTTTTACCTTTGAATCTGATTGAATTATATTTAATCCTTTTAGTAACATTATGAAGCAAGTCTTAATACTCCCTATGACCTAATTTGTTTTTTGGTTTCCATTTTCAAAAGAAACATGTGGGTCTACTTGAAACATAGCACAGTTTTAGCTTATGGCAAAAGCAGAAACAAGAAACAAGGGGTTCACATGACACAGCCTTCATCCAATTGGATAACAAGAGAGCTCCTGCAAAGGAGACAGGCTAGAAATGAAGGAGGCTGCTTCTCCAGCACATGGAGCTACCCTCCGCATTTGGGACTAGCTTTTCTTTTTTTCTTTCTTCCTTTCTTCCTTTCTTTCTTTCTTTCTTTCTTTCTTTCTTTCTTTCTTTCTTTCTT